TAGCACTGACAGTAAGTTGCACAATAGTTGCACTCTCCTTGGATGCATCTCCTTGTGTCCTTTCCTTGTCATATCAGGATCATTAACTTTGTCAGTTGAAATAAGTCCCTCTCTCAAAGCGCTTTGAATAAGCGTGACATGCGTGACATGCAGTGTGCATGAAGGCATCAGTCATCTGTTGCACCCACTCTGTCATCTCAGCGCTTTCTACCCTCTATCTGAGAACTCAGAAGACCGAAGGGGTGGACAACCAAAAGAGACAGATGAAATGCTTGATTTGTTTCATTGCTAAATACAGCTGGGATGGGTAATTAAACAGTCCTGCTCCTGTAGAGAAGCCTGCGGCCATGTAACGTGAAGTCTTCGAAACCCAGCTGTACTCCTCAGATTTAGATTCAGAATTATTTATGAGGTAGGCCTCCTTCAGACTGACAGATTTCGTAAACACCATTTCTATTCAGCATGATTGAAGATGGAGCCTGCGTGTTTTGTTCTCCATTTAAATTTTCCAGGGAGCATCTGGAGTTTGCAGGTATCTGGGGGAATCGCCTAGAACAAGGGTCCCCAGTCCCTAGGCCACAGACTGGTACTGGTTTGTGACCTGTTAGGAACCAGGTCGCACAGCAAGAGGTGAGCGGTGGCCAAGTGAGTGAAGCTCTATCTGTATTTACAGCCACTCCCCATCACTCGCATCACTGTCTGAGCTCTGCCTTCTGTCAGATCAGCATGGCATTAGATTCTCATAGGAGCGTGAATCCTGTTGTGAACTGCACAGGTGAGGGCACTTCTTATGAGAGTCTAATGCCTAATGATCTGGGGTGGAACTGAGGCGGTGATTGTGTTGCTGGGGAGTGGCTGCAGATACAGATTAACATTAGCAATAAGGTTTGATTGCATGGAGAGCATAAAAAATCAATTGCTTGCAGACTAATGTCAAAACCCTATCAGTGAGTGGCAAGTGAGTTGGTGTACTTCAATTATCCAGCTGTGTCTGGTGGTAGGCTGTAAGTCAGAATCCAACACTCATTTTAGTCTACATGTGGCCTGCTGGTTATTTTATTTGTCACTTACATCCACACCTCTTTTTTTTTAAATCATGAGTTGCATAATTATTTCATTATATATGACAATATAATAATAATAGAAATAAGGTACACAATAAATGTTATGCGCTTGAATCATCCCGAAACCATCCCACTCTTCCCACCCCCTACATCCTTGCTGAAATTGTTTTCCATGAAGCTGGTCCCTGGTGCCAAAAAGGTTGGGGACTGCTGGACTAGAAGGCACGGCCCTGGATCTGGAGGGCATGGGATGCTGATCCTCTGTGCTCCTGCCCTGTCCTGGCTTCAGCTATTCTGTGGAGGTGGGACTAGAGATCAGCCATGTGAATAGATGAGGATTGGGAAGGGTGTGGAACCCGTTCCCTCATAACCCTTCTTTATCTTTTATGGGCGCATGTTATGACATAAGGAGCAGAGAGCTCTTTGTGTGTACAGCAGTGTCTTTGTTTTATTTTAGGCACTTATTTCTAATACAGAAGCTGTTACTGCCATTCATTCATTTGCTCAAACCCAAAATTTAGCAGTTATCTTTTCACTCACCTCCCACAAGGCATCCCCTAGCAGGCTCTTTGGTAGAGCTAACTTACTCTTATCCTTCCAGACTCCCCCTAAGAGTCTCATTGAGTGTGGAGCCTTCTCTGACCAGCCTTCCAAAATGACCTCTTAGGACCCTGATTAGTTCCTTGTTGCACTTACCACAATTAGTGATTACGTGTTTGTTTTTCTCGAGATGGTCACACTTTACTTGGATGTGTTTCTTTGGATTATCTTTTTATCCTAACAGGACTGTGATGATCCTGCTGCTTGATGGTCCATTAGTTATTTGTTTGCTTGTGTGTTTATTTGTTTGCATCTACTTACCTTTTTGTCTGTTGTCTGTGTGTTGTGGTTAGTTCCGTGAGGGCAGAGACTGTTTATTTCCTTCACCCTGTATTTCCAGCTCACAGCTCAATGACTTGCGTATAGTTTATACCCCATAAATAGGCAGCACTGGATATCATGTCCAAACTGTATCATAGACAATGGTATGCTGGTAAATTCTAACTCTAAAAAAAGGAGAGAGGGGCAGCTTGAATTTGTACCATTTGCCAATATCGGTGGTGTAAATAAATACTCCCACTGTGGCAGATTTGAAGCTACCAAAGTGACATTGCCAGTCTCTGAGTTGGGAGGTGATGCACCGTAGCACTTCCTTGTCTACTTTGGAGGGGCTTCTCCAAAGGAACAGGCCTATTTAATTACCTGTCCCAGCTGCATTTAGTAGCTAAACTACCGAGCACCTCAGCTGTCCCTTTCAGTCGCCCAGCCCTTCGGTACTGAGTTCTCAGATAGACGGTATTTCTATCTATACAGATATAGTAGGTAGAAATTGCTTTAAGAACATTGGTATTAGTAAAATGTGGTTTAAAAATTAATTAGGAAGTGATGGCTTCTGAGTACTTACTACATTTATGCTTATTATTGAATTGTAGCTTTATATGATGTAATTTTTCAATAATGGCTCTGTGGAACGATTGGCTGGCAACATTTCTGAAAATGGAACATTCTGTTCTCAAACCGGTCCCAGCCCGCTCCAGCACCCCACTGGAGACTCCTGCCCGTAGTGTCTGGCTCATAAACAAAGCAAGGAAGACAGTTGGCAGAGACGGGGAAATGTTATCACAGACACGTTTCTCTGGGAGTTCTTACTCGCTCTGTTAGATACACTGTTAAGGAAAATGGCACTAATGTCTCCTTCTATCTTGAGTTACATGATGTGGTACAATGACCAGACAAGAAAATGAGGTGGCAGCAGTGAGAAGGAAATCGCAGAGAGGAAACAGGTGTAAAAACAACCTTGACCTTCCATTTAGTGTGCTAGACCATCTTATTGGCAAAGGTGGTTGTGAATCCTGAAGTGTGCTTAGTGGTTAATTTTCAGGATATTATCCCAGGACCTGAAGTCCCTCATGCCTTTTTTAAGTCGTGGAGATCTTAGTCGGCTGGTCTACTTGCCACTTCACATTTGTCTGCTTGTCTGTAGTAGGTCAGAAATGAGGCCCAGATGGTGTCTAAGGCAAGGCCTGTAACACTCTGGGGACTCTGAGCAGATGCCTGAGGGGAGTTGACTAGCTCAGTAAGAACAATGAGGGCTGGGCTTTGTGGCTCAGCCTGTAATCCCAGCACTTTGGGAGGCCAAGGTGAGTGGATTGCCTGAGCCTGCGGGTTCGAGACCAACCTGGGCAACTTGGCAAGACCTCATCTCTACAATAAATCAAAAAATTAGCCGGGCATGGTAGCACGTGCCTGTAGTTCCAGCTACTTGGTAGGCTGAGGCAGAAGGATCACCGGAGCCCAGCAGGTTGAGGCTGCGGTGGCCAGGAGCGGCCACTGCACTCCAGTCTGGGCGACAGAGTGAGACTCCAACTCAAAAAAAAAAAAGAAAAAGAACAATGAGAGAAAGAGCCAGCCACATTGTAGGCTCACTGCCACCCTATGTAGGATTTTCTCCTTATAAAGCATAGTTAGAGGTGGCGACTCTGGTATTTTTAGATAAACAGACTATTGATAACAGGAAATATAGATTATATTAGCACCATTTACCAGATTTGAGTTTACGCAGTCACAAGGAGAAATCTGTCTTTGAAAGTCAAGGGAACGGAGTTTGGCGAGTTCCCTTGACCTTTGCAGCTAACAAAGATGAGTGCAACTAACACATTCATCTTTTTACTCTGACATTGGCTAGAGTGTTTCAGTTCTTGGCTTATATCTTGCCCCATATGAATCTTTGTAAACCAATAGAATCAATCCTAGAATGGATCATGGTTACCTTCCCCAAATCGGAAATGTTCTCATCTAGTTGGCTAGATGGAAAAGGACATCTGGGGTAAGGTACTATCTTTCATGGGTTAGTTCAAATAGCATGTCGTGAGCCCATGTTTCATGCCTGGTACTGTTCTAGGGCTGAGCTTATTGAGATTAAAGATACAGACTCTGCATTCAGTAGAGCTGGAGGGGGACGGGCACAGTCAAGAAAATAGGAATCCTGAACACAGTATGTCGTGAGCTGTGATGGAGATGTGCACAGGGTGGTCTTGAACCCCGGAAGACACATTAACTCAGGGCTTCCAGGAAGTGACACGACCTTGGTATTGAAGTGTGGATAGAAGTTAGTTGGGTAATAAAGGGGAGTTAGGATGACCTGAGGGGTGGAGAGCCCTGTAGAAAAGTGAAACACAATGAGTCCTGGGGACTATAGGAAATGTGAAGCTGAAAAGAAAGGCAGTACTGTAGACTCTAATTCCATCCAGGTTGCTGCGAAGTTCATGATTTTGTTCTTCTTTATGGCTGCGTAATATTCCATTGTATATATGTACAACATTTTTTTAAAAATCCAGGTCTCTTTTGATGGACAGCACAGTTGGTTTTTGAGTGATCTGCCACAGAAACAGAGAACTGAGTATCACATGTTCTCACTCATAACTGGACCATGAACAACTACTGTAATACTATAAGAAAAGAATTGACAGTCACGAAAAACTACAGGGGGAGAGGGGGTAGGGAGTTGGAATTAATGGTAGTCGATATCTGCCTGGGGAAGGTGGGGCACACCTCATCAACAAGGGTACACCTCATCAACAAGGGTACCCACACAATGAATATTTGTATACCTAACCCTGAATTGTACCCCACAATTTTAAAATAAAAATTTTAAAGTTAAAAAAAAAGAAAGGCAGGACCATGTACATCTGTCTCTCCATTCCCAGGGAATCCTAAAGGAAGAGTGCGAACAAAGTGACCCAGTGACTTCCTAACTGTACTCGGGACTAGTTATCCCATTGTCCTCTTTTAGGATTTCGGTGATTTTATTCAAGAGGTGGGTTTTCATGTCAGAATTCTGCTGGGTGGAGGATTCACAGCCAGATGTTGATCTCATTGTTCTGTGTTTGGCTACAGCTGCTGCCTATACACACTCTGAGGCTTGGCGTGGAAGTGGATTCTTTTGATGGGCACCATTATATTTCTTCAATTGCTCCGGGTGGTCCTGTTGATACATTGAGTCTCCTACAACCGGAAGATGAGCTTCTCGAGGTAAAATTTACGGCAGCAGACAGACACAGGGAGAAATTTTTAAGTTCTAGAAAAATGTGTTCTCAGAAATCCACGGAGTTACAGTGTCACCAATGCCAATGTAACATGAGCCTCTTAGATTGAAAAATACTAACAGCTTATTGAATAATAAAGGAAGTAGATATTATACTTTCAGGTCATTGTCCCATTTTTTTGTGGCTCCTGAGATGTCCTTTATTTAAACGATTGACAAAGAGTAAAGTTTGATAGCATAGTGAGTAATTTTTTAAGCAAAATTCTAATCCCTGGCCCTTATTGCAATATGGGGCCACGTTCATTTGCAGGTTTTGTTGATTATCTCTAATAAGCATTAGAGCTGAATGACCTCAGTCTTACTGGTTTTGAATGGTCTCCTTGGGACTTTCCCCTCAAAATGACGACCTCGACTGGGCTTGTCCAGGCTCCCCAACCTCTCTTCAATCAGAGCAGTTCTGGAACACCTCTGCCTCGAAATTACTTTTCTTGAGAGATTTTGTTAGACTGAAAAGTTCCATGGTTTGCACAACAAACTGAAACCCCTAAGTTTACAGATATGAAAATGAGGCATTAATGTCCCCAACTTTATATGCTGACTTAGTGGTAGAATGATATCACTTGAGTTCATGTTTCCTAACTCCCATTTCATTATTTTTTCAAATACATCACACTACCTCCTGAGCTCCTAAAATAGATGTGGGAAATGGTCAAGTGAGAAGACTGCATAGACAATATTATCACTATGAAAAGGCAGAGTAGGCCAGACTTGGTAACTCCGTCTGTCATCCCAGCACTTTGGGAGGCCGAGGCGAGTGGATTGCCTGAGCCCAGGGGTTTTAGACCAACCCGGGAAACTTGGCGAGACCTCGTCTCTACAGTAAATCAACTATTAGCTGGGTGAGGTAGCACGCGCCTGTAATTCTGGTTACTTGGAAGGCTGAGGCGGAAGGATCGCCGGAGCCCAGCAGGTGGACGCTGGGGTGGCTGTGAGGGTGCCACTGCACTCCAGCCTGGGTGATGGAGTGAGACTCTAACTAAAAAAAAAAAAAGAAGAAAAAAAAAGAAAGAAAAGGCAGAGTAACAAACATTAGGAACTGGGATGAAGATTGAACGTGCTAATATAGTTGGGCCACACTTGTATTGTATTCTGTACTCTGGAAGTAGGTACGTGTGTGTGTGTTTTCTAATCATAAAGTCAGGATAACTGAGATTCGATGACACTTAAGAGGGTCTCAAGTTGAAGGACCTTGAGAAATATCGTGAATTCTAAAATAAGTCAATTTCTTCTGAGTAACCCAATATAGAAAAAAAAATCTGTAAAGTTAGCCAAATAAACTCCTAAACTTGAAGTGAGTGAGTGAATGTGTGTGTGTGTGTGTGTGTGTGTTTAATGTACCCCTTAGAGCTCAAGACCAGAAACACAAATATGCTTTGGGGTTAGAACACCGTGCCAAGTCTCAGCCCAGAACAGCTATTTACAGCAGCCATAAATCCCTTTAGATAGGAGCTGGTCATGTGACCAATCCCTTTAGCGATAGAGAGTAGTGAGGAGGTCTAGCAGGCACTGCTATAATAACTGGAGACAATTCGAATGAATAAATAATGAGGTAAATAAATATTTAAAGATACTCCAAGATAAAAACCTGAACAGTGACTTTCTAATTTGTTGAAGTGAAACACAAACTAGTACTTGTGTTTGGTTAGAATTCCTGCTTTGATTGTATCTACTTGCTTTTTTTTTTAAGTATAAATTACGTTGATTTTAGAGCTTTTTGTGCTTGTGACATCAGTTGGCACCTTGGATATGGTGTGACCAGTGATGGGCACCTCCCTGCCTCTTCTTGTATAAAGGTTGACTTGCAGTTATGTGGGAAAGCTTTCATCTACTGCTGGTCTTGCTGTCCCCTGGATGCCTTTATTTGTCATAAAGACTTGGGAGAAGATATTTACTTTTCCAGTAGGGCTAGTTCCCTAAAGTGCTTGTTGTTCTCTTTACCATGTGGTGCTTTCTTTGTAAATAATTAAGAGGTGGGGAGATATGTCTGGCCTGATGGCTAAGTGCTTGGTGTGTTACAGCCTTGAGAGTGATTCCCAGGGACACTGCCTTGAGATTTGGCCAGTGGCTGCTCATGGGATGCTTCCAGCAACCCAGTGTCCTCTTATTCTCTGGTGCAATGACAGATTTGTAGAAAGGCTTCTCCCAGCAAAATCATCTTAGCTATTTATCTGAACATTAGCACAGCACTTGTTAGAAATTAATGCCAGACTAGAAATATCTTTAAAACTGGTAATGCTTCTGAACCCTCCCAGGAAGGTAGGAGTCAGATATGAAAAGATTATTTGTTGCCTGGATTGTATTCTTTCCTCACCGTTTTGGGAGATGCAGTCAGATCAGTTTTTAAAGACTTGTGATTGGAACTGAGAGCACCCTTTGAACTGAAGTTATGTGTAAAAAAGATCATAATAGGCTTCTCTTTCTGAATCATCTTTGGTGCCAAATATTTTTATATACCAAAAGTAATATGAAATTTAGATAATTTTTTGGCGACAAGACTTAGTCATGAATAAAGAATATCATTTCTTTTAAACATATGGGATACTTCTATAAAATAATTTGAAAAATGTTTTATTTTACTACTTTCTACACATGCTTGATGACTGTATCAGCAGAGCATATAAGAAAGGAGCTGTTAGCCGGGTTCAGTGGCTCAGCCTGTAATCCCGCGCTTTGGGAGGTTGAGGTGAGTGGATTGCCTGAGCCCGTGGGTTCGAGACCCGCCTGGGCAACTTGGCGAGACCTCATCTCTACAATACATCAAAAAATTAGCTGGGCGTGGTAGCGCGCACCTGTAGTTCCAGCTACTTGGAAGACTGAGGCGGAAGGATCGCCGGAGCCCAGCAGGCTGAGGCTGCGGTGGCCGGGAGTGGCTACTGCACTCCAGTCTGGGCGACAGAGTGAGACTCCAACTCAAAAAAAAAAAGAAAGTAACTGTTACAAAGTTACATATATTTCCTTTTAATAGAAGTCATTTTTCTAGAATGGTATTAAGAGTGTTTGGGATATGAAAGAATATTGTGAACTGATGTTAAATTTTGATAACTGAGCATTCTAGATTTTGTTACCTGCACATTAAGCAGTAAGTTAAGCTATTTCGTTTAGTTTTTGTTTTGTGGGTGTGTGTGTGTGTTGGAGTCTCACTCTGTCGCCCAGTCTGGCGTGCAGTGGCAAGCTCAGGGTCACTGCAGCCTCGACCTGATGGGCTCAGGTGATCCTTCCACCTCAGCCTTTCAAATAACTGGAACTACAGTCATGTGCCACCATGCCCTGCTAATTTTTTGATGTATTGTAGAGATGAGGTTTTGCCAAGTTGCCCAGGTGGGTCTCGAACCCATGGGCTCAGGCAGTCCCCTTACCTCGGCCTCCCAAAGTGCTGGGATTACAGGCTTGAGCCACTGTGCCTGGCCAAGAGGCTGTTTCTGATGGGAGGGGACCCATCTGGGAAAGGTCCAGCCAACCACCCAGGAAACCCACACAGAAACCCAAGCACTTCATGTGTATGAGTTTAGCTCTTACGACAGACGTATGAACCATTATCACTATCCTCTTTTCACAGATGAAGAAATTCAGCCCCAGAAACATTAAGTTACCTGCCAAAGGTCATACAGCTAGTAGGTGGTGGAACAAAGACTGAGCCCAGATAGCTCAGGGTCCACCCCCGAAACCATTATTTAATGAACACTGCAAGGGCTTTATCACCCAGTGTGGGAGACCAGTGTGTCCAGGGCTAACCGGTGTCAGGCACAGTGTCAAATGTGAGAGAGCCCAGACAGACAGACACATCGTTTATGACTGAGAGAGGCATGATAGGTAGGGACAGGGGCACTTGAGCTGGGCCCCTAAGGGTGTCATATGAGGGCAGAATGGCAAGAAAGTGCAGGCGCAGTCAGGACAAAGGAGTTAGGAACAGGTAGCCAGAGATTCCTCTAATCCAGCCCCCTCATCCAGCAAGGAGATAGTCCAGAGGGCCAAGGGTCAGCATCCACTTAAGGCCATGCCAGGGGTAGAAGCCCATTCCCCCATGCTGACCCTGACTCATCCAGCACTGCCTATGAGTAGGGGGCTTTGCCATAAGAAAAGTCATTTGGATTTCATTCTGAGGGCACGGGGGAGTCCTAGAAGGTTACTGAGCAGGAATCATAGCAGCTCTGATTTCTCATGCATCCCAGCCCTCTGAGTGCAGAGTTCTGGGAAAATCCCAGTGGTTGAGATAGTCTAAAAAGTCTTAGGTCACAACTGTGAGTGCACTGAGTCTTTGGAGACTGCCAGGCAAGGCTCTAGGGTGTAGAATAGGAGTTGTGTGGAAGGCTGAGGCGGAAGGATCACCGGAGCCCAGCAGGTCGAGGCTGCGGTGGCCGGGAGCGGCCGCTGCACTCCAGTCTGGGCGAC